CGGACCTTGTACTCCGCCTCGGTCAAGCCAAACTTGACCCATGGAAACTGTCCTAGCTGTCCATTTCCGGCCTGCGATGCGGATTTCGCCTTCCCATTGTTGTGGGACTTGTTGGTGCTTCGCGGCTGGACAGCAGCCACCTGATCTCCGTCACTTGATGYTGGAGTGGCTGCTGGGTTATCTCCACTGTCCTGCTGGACTGCAGCGAAGTGCTGCTGTCGCGGACCAGTTCGTACCTTCTCCACATAGGTCGGCTGCCATGATGTTGATTTCTCGTGTGCAGCTGCCTTGTTGGTCTTGATGATCTCCCTTGCTTTGTCAATAATCTCAGCAAAGGTTGAGTACTGCTCGTGATCACCAACAGCCTGGCTCAATGCAGCACAGGACCTGTTGTAGAACTCACGGCGTAGATGCTCGAATGGTAAGTTCAGATTGGGCACAGCCGCAATCTTCTGCCACTCCGTGAGCCAGTCCCGTGTTGTTGTGTTGCCCTGTGACATGGTGAACAGTCGGTTGATGGCGAGTGTTGGCGCATCGTCGACGATGAACCGCTTCTTCCACAGCCGTGTCAGTTCCTCCCATGTGATTACGTCCTTCAAGTCTGGTACGTCGACGCCGTGGGAGGTTGCCAGGTGGGTCAACCAGGTCTGGCATCCGCCCTTTGAGTTCAGGAACAGGGCGCCGATGTACGCATGCTTGTCTACGGGCAGAATCTTGAGTTGCGTTGTGAATGCTTCCCACCAGAGGACCGGATACTGCTGCGTGTAGTCGGCGAACTTCTCCAGAGTGAACGTTGGCATCTTATACATCTTCGGATTGCCATTTGCATTCGTCGTCTGCAGCTGCTGGACCTCGGTCTTCAATGTATGCAGCTGACTGCTGATGGTGGTGGTCGGCGCAGCGAAAGTGCTGATGTCGCCGAGCATTGCCACTACGTGGTCAACGCGGTCCTCCAGTTGGCGGCTCGAGGGTGCACTGCTGGAAGCCCCAACAGCTGGTCCTGGTACAGCCTGTTCTAGGTCCAACAATCGGGCATTGAGTGCCCGAGTTGCATCCTCGTGGCCCTGCACTGTGCGGCGGAGCGTCGCGAACTCCTGATGCTGTTGCGTCAGGTCCCGGTACTGTCTCTCCAACTCTGACCGTTGGTAGTTGCAGGCATACAACAACCGCGTCACGAGTTTGGAGAGGAACTCCTTGTGCTTCTCTTCCGGTGTTGCCTCGTCGCCGTTCGGTTCAAAATGCCAGTACTTGAGTCTGTCGATGCTGTTGGCTTCATGCCGCTGCAACAAATCCTGGGCTTCCTTGCGGCGAGCCTAGGGATCTGCGTCTGCATCGGCCTGTAGCCGCAGCTGTTCTGCTTCTGCTGCCTCTTCAGCCTGTACGCGGGCAGCCTCGACTGTCAGCAGGCGTTGTTCCTCAGCCTCTATCTGAGCCAGGCATCGCTGCTTGTAGGCGACAATGGTCTCATTGGCCAGTTGTCCTGGCAGGCCCGTCATGTTGCTGACGTGGCACTGCTGCTTACGTGGCACTGCTGATGTGACATTGCTGACATGGCACTGTGTCTGGCATGGTACTGCTGACGTGGCACTGCTGACGTGGCACTGTGTCGGACGTCACTGCTGACGTGGCACTGTGTCTGACGTGGCACTGCTGTCGTGGCAATGTGACCTGGCACTGCTGACGTGGCACTGCTGATCTGGCACTGTGACGTGGCACTGCTGACGTGGCACTTGGCACTGTGACGTGGCACTGCTGATCTGGCACTGTGACGTGACACTGCTGACGTGCACTGTACCGAAACGGGATGCATGCAAGGGGTGGGTGGGAGGGAAAACGGAGGGAGGTAACCAACCCAACAATACTTTCCTCCGGCCCTAATCAACAGATAAAATAAAAAATAAAAAATAAAAAGAGGACTAGTTCCTTTTTTTTTTTT